CAATTTTTTTGGGGTTTTTTAAATAAGGTTCACAGTGCTGTTCTTCGAATGCCGAAAAAAAACCTCTGGAGTGACACTCACCCGAGGTCAGAGAGACAGGAAAAAGTGACATCTGTGCCTCATCACTTCATCATCCCTGCCTGCTGGGCCATGCTGGCACGCCTGGAGCCCAGCTGGCCACGGGAACAAAACCTCCTTGTAGCCATCACCAAGGCACTGGACTCCAGCACACGCAGCCAAGTGCTCCTTAGCAAAACAATGTCCGGTTTTCAGCACCAAAATCCCCTGCCAGGATCAACAGATTATCTTCTGGCCAGGCTGCACGGCGGCCTGGAAGGAGGAGGAGGAGGAGGAGGAAGGAAACTGCTGGATCAGGCACAAGTCAGACTGAGTCATGCTCCAGCAGGGAAGGTGGGGAGCCTATGGCACATTTGTCACTCAGCTTCAAAACAGTGATGCCATCAACAGTTGGATATTGAATTGCTGGAACCCCAGATGCTGAGAATTTTAAACTTAAAACCCAAATACACACACACAAAAAAAATACTATATTTAACCTAAGACCGTAAAAAAAACTTCCAAAATTAATTAATAACACTAAAATTACAAGTATATAGTTTAAATAAAACTATATATTACAGTGTATGTATAATGTATGTCTACATATGTCTATATGTATAATAGATATAAATGTCTGTATGTACAACATATATATAATGTCTATATAGACATATGTCTATAGTTATATCACATATGCCAATATGTATAGTATCACTGAGAATTTTAAACTTAAAACCCAAATACACACACAAAAAAATACTATATTTAACCTAAGACCGTAAAAAAAACTTCCAAAATTAATTAATAACACTAAAATTACAAGTATATAGTTTAAATAAAGCTATAAATTACAGTGTATGTATAATATATGTCTATATGTATAATAGATATAAATGTCTGTATGTACAACATATATATAGTGTCTATATAGACATATATGTCTATAGGTATTTCATATATGTCTATATGTATAATATCACATATGTCTATATGTATAATATAATATAAAGTTTTAGATTATAATAAAATACATCAAACAAAACAAGTTTTAAAACAAAAACTAATTCTTCTTCTTTACCTTCTTCCTCATGAGTTTAAGTAGTGTTTCGTAATTAGACAAAAAAGTCTGCATTGCAGACTTCGAGTAATTAGTTATTAAATTAAAAGTAAAAATAATTTAGGTTTCATTTCTTAATTAGATAGTTTAACCTTAAAAAAACTAGTAACAAAAGATAATTAACCATTTTGTACCTCATTAGTAAAATACTACAAAACTCACTACCTATAAAACTATAACATAAGAAAAAAATAAACATTTAAACCTAAACACGGAATATCATCTCAAAAGCTTCAATCCCAACTTTAACAAAAGTAGTAAAAAATAGTAGTAAAAATGTAGTAGCAGTAAAATTAGTTTAAAAAATCCAAAAACCTACATTATTAAAGCTAGACTACTTCAGCTTCAGAAATTTGAAATATGGGTGGATGAAAGCTTCAGAAATTGGAAATATGGGTGGATGAAAAGTTACATGATCTTCCTGTTTTAGAAGTGACAGATTCAAGAGTGGTTCCCATAACAAAAATTCCTGGCCTAGTCTTAAGCTTTTCCATTCCTCTGTTTAATAATGAAGGAAAAAAAGATCAAACCAAAGGGAAAAAATAGAGTTCTGGTTCAGATCATCTCACAGAACCTGAGTGTAAAAAAATTGTGTGGAAAAATACAAAAATGATCCAGCAAGAGCCTTTAACTCTTAGAAAAGTGCTTCTCTGCTGGTGCATCCATAGCACGAGGCTTTGCCATCTCCCAGGCTCTACTTCCAACCTCATGAGATGAAAGAGTTGGAATTCCCACCATGAGTGTAAATGCTGTGAATTGGAAACCCAGCAGTAATTCCTAAAAGGGCAGAGGTTCTGCACTGCATCCTGCCTCCATCAGAGATATTAGGTGGGAAAGCACCACCAGCATTTGTAAGCTCTGGGAGTGCCGTGGTTTTGTCACCAAGCTCTCCCACTCAGCATGCAAAAAGACAAATAAAATTAACAGTAAAAATCAAGTCCAAAAAGCCAGATTACAGCTAAACTTCATCAGGGCTTCAACTCAAACATTTGACTGTATTCACTAGAGAGAATGAACTCGGATGGCACCTTAAATGAACAGGGGTCACATCCTCTGCAAACACCAAATAATCTCCTTAGCAAAAAATTGACAGTTCTCCCTGAGGAATGTCCAGTTTTCCCATAGAAGGAGGATGATAAAGGACACCTCCAGTGGGAACCTGGCCAGAAGAACTGTTGTGGTGTTCCCACGACCACCCTGACTGCAGCCTGAACCTATTTCCCTGGGTCAGGCTCATCCACACCCCACAATCCCACAAGACTGAAGGTTGGTGGCAGATTGAATGATGGATTTTTTTCATGGAAAGTTTTTCTTGCAAGGGCATTCCAAGAGTGATTTCCAATTTTGTTTTTAGGGTTTCTCTGAACGCCAGAGCTCTGGTTTTCTGCTTGCCTTCCTTCCCAAGCAGCAGGAGCAGGCGGACACTCTGCTCTGACATGCCGAGGGTGCTGCTGTGAGTTATCTGTGTTTAAGGGCTCGGCATTCCTGCTCCTCTTGCTTAATATTTTGAGCCAAAGACTGGGAATGGGAGGAGGGAACGAGAACCACGACTAATGAAGGAATTTGTACATGAGCACTGTGCACTTTGGAGAAACATTTGCTGATGTGTTTGCCAGGAAACCCATCTTGGAGATAGAACTTAGGCATGCGAGCAGAGGCTGCAAAGTCTTGTTGACACAGACCTTTTTCCCCCCACAAAGGAGGAGAATGTTTATTCTGCACTGAACAGCCTGTGCAGCTCTACAATGCAAGACACAATCAGGGACTTGCATCCTACCTCGTAAATTATATTGCCCTGGAGTCCCAAGGAGCTGCTGCTAAAAATATAAAAATAAACAATATTTAGTCTAAACAATAACTGAGCTCCACCAGGATTACCAAAGCAAATCCTGCCACAAGGAACTGATCTTAAAACACCTCTTAAAACCGAGGTATCTTGTTATCATTTCCATCTTGGCAGTGGTTTAGAGGCATTTATTATCTCAATAAATGTTTTTGTTGGTGGGGTTTTGTTTTGGGTTTGGTTTTTTTTCACAAGCATTGTAGCTCCCTTCTCCAGCACCACTCTATATATAGAGTGCACCACTTCCACTGCTATTTAGCAATCAATCACTCGTGCTGTTTCCACTCCAAAAAAGCAAAACAGGGATGAAAGAGCAACTCCAGGATAGGATGTTGGCTGGCAGCTCCTCGGTTAGTATCAACTGACCACATTTACGTCACTTCTTCAATTGGCATTTTCTCCCTAAATAGCTCTCTGGTCAGTAAGTGGTTGGTCCCACCAGGGAGGAATTTGGATCCTCCTCTACAGCTGTTACCTCTGAGAGCAAATCCATGTGTTTTCTACACCCTGGGTAATACTGCAGCCATGGATTTGCATCAAGACTGTTAACTCATGAAAACAGTTTTGGGGAGTCCAGTTGACTTTGGAAACAGCTGGATCACTCACACAAATAAATTAATCAATCAGAAATGATACCTAGAAGGAGAAAAAAACCCAAAACCCACTGTCAGCATTAATAAATATGGGCTGGAATTTCACAAGGAAAGCATAAAAATCTTCCCAGTGTTGTCTCCTGGAACAGTTATTTGCATGAAGCTGCAGCCAGTGGCTTCTTCTACTTGTTTTACCCAACTTCTTTATAAAAAGAGAGAAGTTTTTCTTCTGCAGTGACCACTTGTAGTTCTCCCTATGGCACCAGCAGTGTTCTGCAGCAACTGTTGTCCTCATTTAAAATGTAAATAAAACTGAACCTCAGAACACCCAAGTAGAATGGTTGCATTGCAGAGTGCCACTTGAGCACCATATTTCTGTTTGACTGCAGAACTGCCTCTGTAATTAAAGTCACTCACAGCTCACATATACAAGAGCTGAGCTGTATTTCAGACCTCTGGTGTTTGACTTCTCTTTGGAAGCAAAGCTCCAACCAGTGTTTCCCACTGGGGACTCGTCCTCAGGCAGCAGCACACAGCAGAAAGGCTCTCAACAAGGGAGCACACGTGCAAAATTAATTCAGCCACTGGCACGCATTACTGAAGAGCAAACACATTTGTCTTGACCATAAAATAAAGCACAGTAACCCCATTTGGAACCTGCAATTCCTCATCTGGTTGCTTTACAGCATAAACACGGGCTGGGGAGGGCTCAGGGGCTGAGTGGGTGCCAACATCTTTTTGATGCATGGACATAAACAGAGGTTTTGTTGCTGACTGGCGAAAGTATTTGAAGTATAAATAAGAAGTGAAATTGAGGGACTGCTACAAGCAATGTAATCTGTGGGGATCCCCCTCTGGTCCCCACTGAACTGCAAATTTCATCTGAATAAAAGGTGGCAAATCCTGAACACAGCTCTGCACTTAGAGCACATTAAAATGTAGATACAAACCCCAGCAACTGCTTAAAATAATGTTCACACTACCAGCCAAAGAAAAGAAAATCACAGGTTTTGAAGTAAAGGCTACTGACGCTGTTCTAGGGATTACCCAGTCTGTGACACAAAATGATATAAAGCTTTAAGAAAAGGCATAAATAGAACACTAAGTTCTGCTTTTTTTTTTTCCCTTTCCTCAAATCAAGTACACCTGCTTCCTGGTTTAATCTCAGCCAAAATCCCACCTTTGCCTGCATCACAGAAAGAATAAATACATTTACAGGGAATTCATTATGTGTTCAACAACAGCACTGGGTCTCCACAGAAGCAGGGACTTTGCATGCAGGCACATTTAAGACTGATTTATTCTTTTAAAGCCAAGTAAAATGAAGATCAAAAGTTTCAGGTAATCCACTGAATACTCTCCAAAGCTGAGATTTAATACCCATATTGCAGTTCCTGGACAGAAACAGTTCAACATGAGTGAAGTGATGGAAACTGCAGTGCTGAGACAAATCCTATCATTATTGTGAAATGGTGTAATATTAGAAATTACATCATGTGAACTGCTCTTGTTTCAGTGTCACACTCATGTGGCCCCTTCCCATTTTGCAAGAGGTCAGGACAATGTGTCTTTTAAGCTTCAGAGGGAAATTCCTGGAAGGGTTTCACGCCAAAAACTCATCAGCGAAGTTGCACAGGTCTTTGCCATCAATTAGAAGCAATGAAGAAATCCACAGCACTTCAGTTTCTTGTCTAGAGAACAGAGATTATATGTCCAGAGCTCATCTGCCTCTCTGGAGGAAAACAAATATAAGCAGTATTTGTACATCTTTAGGCACTTATCACAGTAGATGTAGAGATTTTAGGCCAGCAAAACAATTGAGAAATTACAAGGGGAAAAAAAAAATCTTTCCCCCAGCTACAGCATTTGCATTTATCTGGGATACAGGAGAGCACATGGGAGGTAGGGCTATTTTTGGGGGTTTAATTTTCAGGAGCAGCTCACTTCAGAAGGGCAGCAGCCCGAGGAGTGCGAGTCAGAAGCGCTGACTGTGGCACAGGAGGTGTCAGAGGTTTCAGTGCTGCCAGCACAGCAGGACCTGCCAAGGCTGCTGCAGCTGTGCCACTGCCTCATCTCTGCTCTGACAGAAACGTAAACCCTGCCACGGGTTAACAGCACAACTGGGCGAGTTCTTGAAAAAAAAATTAATTACATTTAAGAAGTGAATTTATTTTTTTTACAGATTTTTAGTCCCCTTGACATAAAAGAATGTTCTGATTTGTAGAGGTACACAGAGCAGCAAGTCTTAAGGTCATTACCCCACCCAGTGTATCAGAGAGAACCACTGATTAATTACTGCATGTAAACAGACCAAGAATGAACTCCAAGCTCGCTTGAACTGGCCTGAACCCCACAAGAGGGAGCAGCAATCAAGCAAATCAAGCAAAGCACACTTTTTTGTGTCCCTGAGGACACACTACTTCCACCACACAAAGCTGGACCCCTGGATTTTCAATACAAATGTTTAATGACATGGTTATTCAGCCATTGAGGATGTGGATGAACATTACTATTAGAGAATAAGGGACACTCTGTATTCCTACTGAGGACCTGGTAATTCAGCCTTAAATTATTACCATTACCAGATACATTCCAACCACTTATGTGAAGAAGCAAACCAACAAAGCTGGCAGAGGAGTGGGGATGTTTTGGATTTGTGTTAAGTCCAGACCCTCCAGATTCTCAAAATAACCCACAAATCCTAGCTAGCTTTATTTTGTAAGTAATTCCTATTCTGCATCCTCACTCTCTGCTCCATCTCCAATACTTTTGAAGTACTCAAACAAAACCTCCAGGGTTTTTATTTAAATACCAACCATCCTGTCCAAAAGTAACAGCTTCCACATTCAGCATCACGTCAACAGCAGGAAAAAGACAAACGTGAAGAGGTTTGAAAAGGTTCAGTATTGTTCCTGCAGGCTCCCACAACCTGGTGGCTAAGTGGAAGAACAGGCAGCAATGTGCTGTGCTGACAGATGGTTTTTAAGTAGGAGCACCTCAGAGCCCAAAGCAGAAGCTGAGGATTCAACTAAATGCTGTTTTTAGGGGCAGAACCTCCTGCCTTGTTTTGTCTCCTACCTCCCAGGCTCAGTATTTTGGGACTCATTAATCATTTATTGCCTTTTCTTAGTTAAGAGTGGGAATTGTAAGGAGAGACCATTTAACTATAAATTATAATAGAGAGGGGAGACTTGTAGAAGAGGAATAGATTGAATTTCTTCTTTTTGTACCTCAGGGCAATATCAGGAGGGCCAGCAGAGCACAGCTGAGCTTGGTCACTGACACAGGAACCACAGCTGAAACCCATCATTAGTTCTTCTGGCTGCTCCTGGAGGGTGTGTTTGGTCCTCTTCTCATCCCTCTGGTATTTTTTTTGCTGCTGCTCTCCTTTCCCAGGTTTCTCCCTCTAGGATTACCCGCAGTGACCTCAACAGGTATTTCATTATATGCACATCCTACTGACTGACAAAGGGAGGAAAGAAGGAATCTGAATTGGAGCCATGCCTTTGATCATCAAAAATATGAGGATTTTACATTCATCTGTAAAATCCAACACAGTGCCAATACCAGACACAAAAAAACCCCCAAACCACACGAGGCATTTTTACATGTTCTGGGTTCCTTTGGCAATAGGCTTTGCACACATCAATCATTCCAATACAGACTTTAATAAAAGCTCTGACTGCTCCCCTATTTTTTTAAGCTGTCTGTTATGGATGGAGAAATACTTGGAGCTACAGACATACAAAACAACAGGTTTCAGAGGCATGTCTGCCAGAGAACAGAAGATTTATTGTAAATTATTCCAGAATATTAATGTCAAACATTAATCATAACAACACAGTTTATTACTAAAGCTAAAGCAGGGTTTTAAGTTATATTAAAAAAACCAAACCACCATACATATGGAAGTTATACAAAGAATATATTCCATTATCATCTCAGCCCTGAAAACAATTTCATGCAGAGTAGCATTTCTGAAAAGACTCACAACAACCTCTCCCAAGCTGTAGTGATGCTCACAACCATGTCACCTGCCAGCCAGAAGCACAAGAGTTTAAACCAACTAAAATTTGGGGAGAAGACCTCAAAACCTTCCATGTCAGTGGAAAAAATTTCAAAATCTCCAAATCTCTATTGCTCAACAGCACCAATTAAGCAGGGAAGCAACAGAGCTCCTTGAAACCTGAGATGCTGCCTGAAAGGAAAAGAAAAGTCTCCTTGAGGTCACTGAGAATTGCTGATGGCATTTTGCAAACGCAGATAAACCTGTGGGTTTGTCCTCAGTGAACTCCAGGAGGAGCCGGTGCCAGGGCACTTCATACAGTTGAGAAATCCTCCTGTGGTACGAGCAGTGAGCTGAGAAAAATGTACCCTTGCCAAGCCAATTCCAAAAAAAATCAATCAGTGCAGGCTCAAGGGCGTGAGTGACAAGCTTATTCAGCTGCTCTCAGCAAACACCAGGGAGGGAAGCAGCACTACCTGGCCACCTCAAATGACTCTTCAAGAGATGTAAGAATTGCTGCTGATCAAAATATTACCTAAAAATTGCATGAATAAATTAAGATGGAGCTGCTGACAGCATGCAGCTGCAAACTGATGTTAAAGAAACACTTCTCTGTCTTTTAAGTCCAGCATAAATCTTTTGTTAGGAGTGCATTTTAAATACACTATGCCAAATCAGCACACATTACTTAGGGAGTAAAAGCTGCTGGGGAACCTAAGTGTGTAAATATAGCGTGCAGCTTGGATTTGCTGCATCCACAAGGAGCTGAGAAAGCCTAATTTCACCTCCCAAAAGCATTTAACACTACATCTAGCCAATGCCGAGGAAGAGACTCGTGAGCTATTTATACACGGAGATAAAGGTGCCAAAAAAAGTTTTTAAAAAATCCCTTGAGGTCATCAAGCCTCACTCTATCCAGGAGATGCAATTTTCTGCTATCCAGCCACTCCTTCATACAGTTTCTGGCAGAGAATGAAGTAAAAAAGGGAACTCTTTCTCTGAAAAAGACATTGAAGTGAAGATAGAAGCTCGAAGTGCTGAGGACTGGGCCAGCAGATGAATACACCCAGCTTAAACCCTGCGTTAGCTACCAGCAGGTTTAAGGTTTCCTCTGAATAAAACATGTGGAGCTGCAGATTTCACACCACTACTCAATTAATGGAACTGTCACTTCAGTGGGCAGCAATGTCACAAAACCAGTCACTGCTCCATTCATACAGCAGGGGAAAAGCTGTGGAGTTCTATGTTGTTAACGTGACAGGGCTTCTGAAATCCTGGCAATGCCGAGGTTATCTGGAAACCACCTTGAGGATTCAGAGGAGACTCCCCAGCTAAGTGAATGGCTCGACAAGAGCTGCAGTCAGCACAGTCTGCTTCACTGAAAGCCTCTAGTACAGAGCCTGGAAAAGCCACTGCAGTGTGTAACTGCAGCTTATGCAAATCCATGGGGCAGGCCTGGGAAAAGCAAGGCTAAATCCCTTCAAACGGGAGCAGCTCTGCCACAAATCCAGCTGTATAGTGGGAATAAGCATGATAAACAGACCAGGCTTTTATAGAAGTGCCTTTGTAACTGTTCTGCTGCAAAAACTGCTTGGAAATGCTCACATGCTTAAAAGAGTACCTTGTCACGTCACACTACACCTGCCAAGAAGCTACAGCTCATATCCCAGCACAGGGAAAAGTTATACACAAGAACAGGTCACACTGCAATCCATATCAAAGGTCTCGCTTAGCATTTAGAAACTGCGATGTGTGAGAATATTGCTAAGTGTTATTATTTGTTAAAAATTTCCACTATGTTATTTTTCAGCTGAACAGCAGCACAAAAAATGATCCACAGAATATTTAAGAGACAAGCAAATGTAGAGTATCATCCCAAGGAAACTTTACATACAGAGATACACCTGAAACAGCTCTTCAGCTATGCAAGAAAAATTTAATTGTCTTCTTTTTGAAGAATTTAGGCAATGTACAATTCAGGAGGAACAAGTCACTTCACATTAGGCACATATCAGCATTTGCTTTATGGCAGAGTGAAAGCTGAGCATCATATTGAAAACTGGGTAAGCAGCAGCCAGGACAGAGTCCCATCCCAGCCTCCACTCCAGCCACCCCTGGGAGCAGCGGCGGCGTGGGCGTGACCGTCAATTTCTCCCCACCTGAGCTATTCCTCTTAATAAAGGCATCAAAAAGGAGAAAGATCTCCTGCCCATTTATTGCATACACTGGCCAGTTCTGCCACCCCAATGTCGGAATAATTCTCCTCCAAACACTGCCTTGAGGGGCGGCAGGGAAGGATGCTCCAGCTCTCTGACATTTCCAGCAGGAGCAGAGCTGTGCAGGGGTACACTCAGGAAGCTCCATCACTAAGGAACGCCTTGGGGATGGGTGCAAGCCCTCCTGCTGGCCATGCAGCTCCTCTGCAGCGCCCTGGCAGCCAGCCCAGCAGCTCGCTCAGCCCTGTCCCACTTCCCAACAGCAGGCACCGAATATCCCAGCCCGGCGGCTCCCGGTGAGCGCTGACTGACGGGATCTCAGACACAGGACCCTGCTGAGCTTATTATCTCAGGCAGCAAAACAAACACGGGCTCTGCAGAGCCCGGCCCGAGGCTGGCTTGGGACGTGCCAAAAGGAGAGCCCAGCTGCCTCACTGCAAAGGACACAGCATGCACACACACTGATGCTTTAAGTCCGCCTCTCTGGGGGCCTCTGCTGAGCCACTTTCGATGATCTGAGCTCCTCTGACTGATTCTCCCACTAAAAGCACAACCAGGATGATTCATTTTCAGAGATTGATACAAAATTGCCCTTAATTTGTTTCCACCAGGTATCACCTTCGGAGATAAATTATCCACTTAAAGGTAACAGAACATCGTTGCAGCTGGGTTGCAACATTTACTCTTCACAAGTAAGGATTTTTCATCTCTTATTTACAAAATATCCTTTTACATGTTGATGTTCTGGCGACATTCAGCTGAGACCACAGCTTGCCTGTCTAAATATTTGACTATATAAGGATTCTAGCTACGATGGACAGTGCAAATACAACAGTGACACCAGGGTCAGCAATATCTGATTTATCTGGCCAATACCATCACCCACATAAAATAAACCAATTAGTTGATCAGGGTTAAACATGGAGTTTGCTCTATATTAGATGCTTCACATGGTTTATCTTTTGTTCTCAAAATGGCACATGGTTAGCAAAGCAGGTGACAGGTTTAGTGTGCTACTCCTAGAATACATTCCTGACTTTCATGCAGATTCCCGTGGCTTAAATATGCTCTGGAAAAGGAAAGCTTTGTCACAGTCACAGTAAAGTCATACACTCCCACCTCCTTACAGCACAACATTGTTCAGCTTTCATTCCAGCCATCTCTTTTATGAGGAAATTTAAGTGTTTATCCCATTTCCCTCTTTGTGCATTGTGTTTTTTATTAGTCCCGTAAATTGCACAGGACTGCACTGCTGGGAGTATTGATCATTCTCCCTAGATCTCTTTGAGCTTTTAAATCTTGCTGTGACATTGCACCACTTGCAATAACAACCAATCCTCACCACCACCAAGACAAGATGAAGGGTTTGTTTTCCCTGATGATATCCAGGATTGAGCTTTTGTCATGTCCTTCCACCAACTCCCCTGGCAGCAGGAAGAACCCTAAACAGGCAGATTATCACCAACCCCTCAAAAACCTCTGTGCAGAGGGTGCCCTGAATATTCACTTTGGCGTTTACAGATGGAATTCACACATTTCTCCAGCACTGAACCCGCAGCTCCTGCTCTACTCCCATTCTGCAGGCATGGCTTGATCCGATCTCCTTAGGGAATTAATGCCCGGAGCAGGCACGGCAGCTGCCACCCAGCCCGTGTGTCCCCCGCAGCAGCGACAGCTCCGGCCTCAGCCACACGGATCCAAGCGACAGATGGTGAAATAAATGGGCAGGAGATCTTTCTCCTTTCAGATAACTTTTTATTCATAACAGATGGCACCCGCACCGCTTCCTGCGGGAGCCACGCTGCTCCACAGATCTGCTGCTCCCAGGAACCAGCCCGGCTCGGATGCCAAGGGATAACCAACCACCCCACTGCTCCTTGTCCAGCCACAGGCTGGAAAATCATAGGAAATCAGTGATTTCCCTGCTCGTCCCCCTGTGGTGTGTCAGTGCAGAAAGAGAAATTAAAAAAGAGAAGAAAACTGGCCATTTTTCATCATGTTAACGCTGTGATGTCTCCCCGTGACAACGCTGCTGATTTGTGCAATCGCTATTTCTGTCGCTAACAAAAGAAATAAAGGAGAGGGAACAAAGGGAAAATTGAGTAAGAAGGGGGGAAAAGCACCACCCTAGCACTGGAAATATGATTCAAGTGTTAAAAAATGGAATCTGACTGATAAAATGTACAAAACTGGCGACAACTGTGTTCTTTCGTTTGTGTGAAAGACAGCTCTGGCACAGGGAGAAGAAATGAGACCTGGAAGTCCTGTTTGTTACAAAATTTAGGGGCTGATCTAGCTGTGAGACTAACAAGGAGAAAACAAATTTAAGTGCTGACCTGTAGTTCTAAAATTAGTTTCATTAAATGCATTTACTACGAGCAAATGCCTTTCTGATGACAGGAGAGCCAGGAAAGGACTCTGGAAAGCTGCATGTTCCTCACAGCACACATCACCCTCCCAAACTAGATTCCTGCCTGTCTGCTGGCAACAATGCTCTTGATAAATATAATTATTAGTGGGGTTTTATGGGCTTTTCTGTGTTGTCCTAACATGAAGAGTACTTAAGTCCCCACCTTTGCAGCCCCTCAGTGTCAAAAAAGAACCAGCGCTGCTCTGAATCCCACAGAGCTGCCCGTAGCCTTTACAAAAAGAACAAATGTTCAAGCGTTCACACAGAGCCATAGTTCTGCTAAATATAAGTGGAAGATTATATTCCTGATCTTAAAGAAGCATCAGAATTGACAGTTATGTGACCACGTTTTTTCTAGCACACAAGCTGTATAAAAATAGACTTTTTTCCTCAAAGCA